AGCCGGAGGTGTTCCTTCCTGACAGCACTGACTTGTGCATGTTGGACATCTCCCGAACCAAACCCGAACCAATGGTGGTGGCTATCGATGACAGAATAAGGATGATTTCGAAGGAAAATGGTACAGTGGATTCAGGGACTGAGAAATTGGGGGGCTTTGCTGAGGAGGTGTACAACCCGAGTGGCTACATTGCATCAGCGAGGCAGATTAGGCCAAATGTGGAATTGCCGGTAGGGACAGAAATTTGTGTACTACATGGGGATGGGTTTGATCAGAGGATAGAGGACTTAGCGGTTCTGGAAGGGGACATTGCTGACCTCCAAATTTTCAACAAACAAGATTCGGGGGACATGACGGTCAATTGGTTAGATTTTGAGGAGTCAGCAGAAGTCACAGGGTGGCTTGACAACCAACCAGATATTGTTGAAAGATCTCAGCTGGAAAAGGGCCCGTCAGGGGCAAGGACATCAGTTGTGGCCGGAAGGGCCAGGAATCAGAATACATCATCGGAGAGCGTCGGTGCCGAGAATTTCGCTCGGGTTCTGGGCATTTTGAATATAAGAGATATTGAACAATAGACTGCATTGACGCAACTTGAACGGGAAAGAATTAAAGACTCTGAAAGAGCCAGAAAAGCCAAAGCCCTTGTGGGGACTGAAAGTGCTGAGTGCACAGGAACAGAGGGTGCTGCAAACACATGGACATAAGGTACCGTGAGTACAAGGACAGTGGTAACAGAGCCGGACAGGTGTCTGTTGGCTGTCGATGGAATGTGATAGGAGGATGATGATCTATGTCTTGCCCACACGGATGAGGACTGGGGAAGCAATCAACCGGATAATACCTGGTACATTGGTGAAGTTGACCATATGACTAGGAGCGGGCAGTATTTCAAGCCCGCACACCTGGATCAGCTCGAGGCATCCGGGAAGGACAAGGAGGTAGATAAATAGAAAGAGAAGCAACTCGAAGAAGAGGCTGTGTTAAAACAGTTGAAAAAGATACAAGCAGACATCTCCATCTGGGGATTGCTTATGGCTTCTCGAGTACATAGACAGGCTGTCTTTTCAGCCATGGACAAGGCCAAACTCTCGATAGACACCACGCTGGAGCAGCTAGTTGGATTGGTTTTTCCGGGAGGAGGTTCCCCGACGTTGACCTTTTCTGACAAAGAACTACCGCCTGAGGGCGCAAATCATAACAAACCTCTTTACATCTCTGTGGAATGTAGAGGCAAGTGGGTACCGATGGTTCTTGTCGACACGGGATCCGCTATTAATGTGTGCCCGTCGAGGACGGCATACGCAATTGGGTTGAAGCCCGCGAACTTCGTGCCAACTGCCCAGGTGATTCAGGCGTATGATAACACAAGCAGGGAGGTGATGGGGACTGTCAAAATTCAGACCCAGGTTGGTCCAGGACAACACGAGATCGATTTCCATGTCTTCGACGTTCCCGCAACCTTTAACCTACTTTTAGGGCAGCCGTGGTTGCACCAGGTAAAGGCAGTCTTTTCCACCTTGCACCAGATGTTGAAATACCACCACGGGAAGGGGGTGTCTATTGTTTTCGGGAATTCGTCAATCCATCCGCCGCCGGAAGTGTCTCTAATACACACTCTATAGCTTCCTATTTATCAACCACCAAATAGCAATGAAAACTTGAATTTCATTGTGGACCCAACAACACTTTCTAAAGTAATGTTTTCTAGTGGTTATATAGCATACTTTGTGATGTGAGGTCTCATATTCAATTGTTATTAATAATTTGTATGAATGACAACAAAAAAAAAATGTCCCTTTGCTTTTTATAGAAAGCAAAATAAAAATGATCCACAAATGTAATTATTAGTGCATTTTAATGTTTGACTATATATAACGTGTATCAGAAAAATCTATTGACAAGTTTTGGCTAATGGCATAGAGAAAGTACCCTTGATCATATGACACATTAGAAAAATGCAGTGTAAGAGTGACATTGTGTGAGACAATGAGATTCAAGATCCTATAAGGTGCAATGAGAGAACGGTGAGAAAGTGAAACACCAGGAATCCAATTATAAGGAGCACCTAATAGGGTATAGGCAATGAGATTGAAATCAATTGGGATAGAAGCATAACACTTATCTTGGGGATAGTCACACACAAGAGGCCGTTCGCGACGAAGAATATTAGCAACAATATCCGCATTAAACTCAAAACTTTTACCCCTCACATACATCCAAAAAGATCATGAATTAGAGGATGAATGTTGCTATAAAATTCTCGAACCCAAGACCTATTCACTATGTCATCAAAATTCAACATAGCATTACCACCCAAACAATCAAACCAATTCCTAATAGAAAGCTCATCAAATGTGTTGGGTTCAACATTTCGTTCTAGTAACACTGCGATCAGTGAACTGTGCATTACACAGATTTTGGTGGTCTTTAGAGCGAAAGGAATATGAATCAAAAGAGCCTTTTTTAGCTGATTGCTTGGTTTTCTTTCTAGAAGAAGATGAAGCCTTGAAACAAAATTTTCAAAACTACTGAGATGGACGAGACAAAAAATACCAAAGAAAAAGGAAAGGAACTAAGAAATTTACCACCTACAAATGATATGGAAGAGACAATGATATTTCTTAGTTCATATTAGCTACTAAGAAATTTTTATATCATAGAGAGAAACCTATTGTGTAGATATAGAGGGAGGGAGAGTGAAGCATTGTCCATATTGTTTCCCTGCAATTATTACTAGAGTCTAATTTTCAAGGCAATATCACAGCCAAATCAATATTCCTCGCAGAAAATCATTTTCCTAACTCATTGCGCTATACAATTACACACTCTCTCTGTCTCTCTCTCATACGAGAGAGCAACCTACCTAACCAACATGTTCATTTGCCATGAAATTTCAGTGAATTGTAGCTCTGCGGGTCTTTATCTAAGTTCAATAGTGACTGCATCCTAACATCTAACCCCACCATAAGTTCGTACTGACAACACTACTCTTTCAAGCGGCCCCATTTAAGATGAAAATACAGTGTTGCTATTTTGAGCACTTATCTGTAAATAAAAAAATATGTGATTTTAGAATTACTGATTTTGCAGAACAAAATTGCATTGCTTTGACCCATAACTTCACATCTTACTTATCTTGAGTTTTAGTCTACTAAAGTGACTTCTGTTTGAGTTTTATAAACTTGACTGTTAAAAGAATGAGATTTTTCTAGTAAAATTTGATAAATTTAATGTTTGGGGATTCTAATACTTGATTTGGTGTGCCAGGAGGTGCATGTGGGCATGGCAATTTGTATAGCCAAGGCTATGGCACTAACTAACACCGCAGCACTAAGCACTGCTCTGTTCAACAATGGCTTGAGCTGTGGGGCATGCTATCAGATCAAATGCAATAGTGATCCACAATTGTGCCTCCCTGGGACCATCACTGTGACTGCTACAAACTTCTGTCCACCTAACCGTTCTCAATCTAATGACAATGGTGGGTGGTGCAACCCTCCCCTCCAACACTTCGATCTGGTAGAGCCTGCTTTCTTGCAAATTGCTCAATATAGAGCTGGAATTGTTCCAGTCTCTTTTCAAAGGTAAGGGTTGCTCTCTAATTACCCTCACAACTTTGCTAGTTGCACTGAACACAGATAAGGGTGTAGACCCAACACCACTCTCTATGTCTCTCGTGTCATGTAGAACTTTTTATATTTATTTTTCTGCAACTAGTATTATGTACATATACCCTCAACATTCCTAAAAGTCAAACAAATTAACTAAAAAATTAGTCAAAGCAATTTGCTTAATCTGTGCTAGTTAATTTGACTATCGAATAAAGACCAATGAGTTTGTGATGTCTTATCGAGTCTTACTGTCAATAGTTTCTCCCTTCTTTAAATAAACTAATGAATATGGTTGTGTGGTGGCCTTGACTGGGTGCCCTGAGTGAAGAAAGTTACCAGATCCTATGTCTCTCAGAATCTCATACCTTTCCATGTTTGTTTATCACCAAACACCCTTCCCTTACAACAATAATAACTGTTTTTGTTTTCTCACTCACTCTCCCTCCCCTCCCCTCCACTCCTTCCTTCCTTATATCAATTAATCAATCAATTAATTTGTATTTGTTGAGAGCATTCCATTTTGCTTTCAAATCAATAGTTGTAAAGATATCTTCTTTCATCAAGACTTTCCAAAGGTCCAAACCAACCAATGACTTGCAGGTCCTGATTCATAAACTAATTTTATCCCTATGTCCTGATTGCTGATCATTGAAAGTAAAATTGATAAACTAAAATTCACAAACTAAACATCATCGATATTCAAGGAAAGACATTCAGTCCCCATTGTGAGGAGTTTTTTTACTTTCATTAAATCAGATGCCTTTGATAAGTTGGTCTTTCAGACAGGTGTAAACAGTATATTGACACAGTTTTAAATTTGGATGCATAATTTTGGTTTGGACTTTGATGTTTTACATTATATACAGGAAGATGTGCATTGCATTCAAGTTGTCTATACTCCATACGACATAAATTTGAGATTAAATATGGAATTTTAAATCAGATTGGATGCCTCTAGGGTTGCAGATTGCTTTTCTCGGAGAGAGAAGGTTTATCAGTTGCATAGAAGGGGAAGACAGAGAGACAGAAGGATCCATACCTTGAGGAAGAGGTCAGATAGAGGGAGTTGCAGACAACGCTAAAGGGGAAGGTCGATTTCGCGCTGAAGGAGCAGATCGATTTCGCGGGAGAGACGTGTTTGAAGAAGGAGCAGAATACTTTCGCGGGAGAGACGAGTTTGGAGAGCCTTCAATCACTCTCCAATTGAAGCCAGCAGGGAAGGGATGAGGGAAAATAGGAAGCCGTTTAGCCAGCCAATTGGAGTGAGAATTTAGGGTAATATTAGCTAAAATAGTTAACCGGATTAATATGCCTCTTCCATTGGAGTTGCTCTAATAGTGCCTATAAATATATGGAGGGGAATTAAGCAAGGAAAACCATTACCAGCTATTACCTGGTTGATAAATCTCTTCTGAACCTGCTGAGACAAAAGAACAGCATCAACCTGCCAAACGAACATACTCAGTAACTTCCCTGGAGCAATAGCACAAAAGTCATGACACAGGGCAGCCATTCATCCCTAAGCATAAATAAAGCAACCAAATGAGGCAAAATGCTTTCAACTATCAAAACAACATAAAATTCTAGTTGGTGCGACCCACCATATCAGGCTGCAATTGATACTATATTTTCCAAAAATGTAAAATGGAAAAATGCTCATACCTGCTCATCTTTAGCCCCTTTCTTTACAAACTCCAATTCAAGAGTAAGCAATGCTAGGTTGAAGTCTTCAGGTGGAACAAATCTAGAAATATTATCACCACAAAGCATTAAAAATTTGGTAAAAACATAGCAATAACAATCAACAATTCCTTACTAATTTATGATCACCTGCTCATGGATATTGTGTCCCCAGTAGAAACTTTTGCATGGCGACGTTGGATGGCATTGAGGGCAATGTGGCCATTAGGTATGCTTTCATGTGCAGTAAGTTCTAGTCAAGGCAACAAGGGACTACAACCCATTCAAGAAACAATCTAACGAGTGGGTATCAATAAATATTTTTTCCCACATTCCAAACATGTATAGAATGCTTTTGTCTTGTCTAAGTTCTGATATAGCATTATACATCCTCATGGACCAATTGACAATGTGTAAATGCAGCTACAAACCATATGTGAAACCGCGCAAACCAAGAATTTGTACATCTTAATGATTTTGATTCTCACAGTGCTAGGAACATGAACACACCTATCAGGGTAAGTATAAAGAGGGAAGAAAACAAATATAAACATTATACATGAATTGCTTTAAAGAAGAAATGCTAACGAAGCTTACCTTTGCAATTGCGATCCATGTATAGTTGATTTCAAGCTTAGACCTGCAAAACCCAGATCAAGGCAGACCAACGGACAAATTTTCACTGCTTGGGTAAGTATAAAGAGTATTCTGTCCCTTTCTGTTTCATATAGTGCAAAATATATTCTACATGAACACACATCTAATTGGGTACCTAGGAAACCAAATGCAGCCAAGTAAAATTCAATACCTAGCTTCTGAAACTATATTCAAACAATAAACTCATTAGAAAAGAAAATATTATTCGAGTGATTTGTCAACATTTATAACGGTTCTGCAAATGCAGCCAAGGAAAATTTAGTACCTACCTTAAATGAATAAGCTGTAAAGAAAAAAAATGCCCACTATATATTGACTAAGATAAAATTTGTTTTCATATACAGAACTCACTTAAACTACACTCAATTAAGTATACATTTTCATACCTTAGATTTCTTAAGTATACACCTTCTGAAAGCAGCCTTAGATTTCTTTTGTTTAAGCTTGCTAAGGTTCATTATTTGTTACTAGACCAAGAGTATAAATTTCTATTCCAAATTTTATAGCTTAATGTTGGTGGTTGGTAGTTAGAATGCCTTTTTATTCATGGTTGAGACACTAACAGATTTTGTACTTTCTATTTTCAAAGGCATATTAGCAAACAAGTGGTATGCATAATTTACACATAAATTAAATAAAAGAAAAAGAACTTGGAAATGAACAAATTGAATGAAAATCAAAATCACATAGGAGATAGAAGACTTTGGCTGATCAGCTGTAGCTACACATGACTCAGATATCTTATCATTCCCTCTCAAACTTTAGGGACAAGGAAGAACCTGAAGTTTGCCTTGAAGATAGTGAAACCTAGAGATAGAAAGAGGTACTGACATTATTATGGTACTCCATGGCAAACAAGTATTTTGCTCCATCACCACCTAAATTCGCCTTTTCCGGTGACATTTCAATTACAACATCTAAATTTCTCAAAGTTTGGTTTCTAGGTATATAGATAAAACAACCACCCTAATGAAACAGAGTAAATCATTTCAAGAAAAGCTCTAGCTTTACAATTTCACCATGAAAAGAAATCTAAACAAGAAAAAACAAGAACTAATCAAATTGCATTCCAAGTATAAAATAAAAATAAAAAACCCTAATCCTGGTTTGTGCTACAGACTACAGAGCAGTGAACTAAGAAAATTGAAGGGAAGGATGAGAAATTGAGAGAGAAGAGAAAGTGGATTTGAATTTCTTACCAGGGATGCCTCCAAACACGATAATCTATCAAAGATTTACGTACCCATAAATTTTTTTTAAAAAATGCAAATAACATATCAGATTCACCATTAACATTATTTTTCTATTCCAGAAGATGGCTCTTATATTTAATTAAGTAAACGAACAAATTATAAACACATCTACATAATTCAAGAAAACTTAGATGATAATAATAATTTTTAACGCATTTTCATCATCCCAAAAACAAAGGAACAATACAAATCTGAGTCGGCTTTTTTACCTTAGGCAAAACAACGAGAACAAAAAAAAAAAAAACAGAACATGAACACAAACATTGAGAGGGAGAGGGAGAGACAGACAGAGAATGAGTAAGAGAGGGAGAGAGGATTTATACCTCAGTTTGTTTTTAGGCTGAAAAACATGAGGCACACTAGCAACAAAATTCCCAAACCTAGGAATTGGGGCCAAAATAATCACTAATCAGACACTAGTAACAAAATTCCCAAACCCAGGAATTGGGGCCAACATTCCCACTAATCATCAATGATGCCATTTTGGTATTAACAAGAAAAGACTAACAAAACAATCTAAAAACCCTACATACACTGATTGATTTTATAAATGGGTTGGTTTCAACAAAAAAAATGAAGAAATGTTTACCAGGTAGTGTCGATAGAGGATTTCTTGACGGCTAGGCGAGACGAAGCGATGACCTTGCCGGAGCTGAGGGGCTTGATTTGGACAGGTGTAACGACGATGCCAATGAGCTGTACGGAGTTACAGAGCTCCTTCTTCCACTGAAATGCTCTCTTTAGAACAAGAAGAGTATGAGAAAGAGAAGGGAAATCAAAGAGAAAAATTGGGACAGAGAGAGATAGACAGAAGCTTGAAAAAATATACCTAGATAATGGTGGCGAGGCGAAGACGGACGGTGGCGCTGACGGTGGAGAGGCGAGGACGGCAGACGGCAGCGTTGATGGTGATGAGGCGAGATGAGTGACGCGACTGAGAGGGTGGGATCGATTGGTCGCATTTTTGTGAAATATTATAGGGGTTTGATTTGTTTTCCCCTACAAACAGTGTTAGTCGGCTATTTGGACTCACTGCATTTAATAAACAAAACGACGTCTTTTTGAAATGTGCGACTAAATTGTAATAGTCGCTAAAAGATTTTAATCTCCCTCCTAGTTTTTCACTTTCCCGCCTAAATTTTTGGCAACCAATATTTTAAATTAGTCGCGAAAAATTACTTTTCAGCGACCAAATTACTTTAGTCGGTGAAAGTATGAACTTTTGCCTACCAATTTTTTCTTAGTAGGCAAATGTGATTTTTTTGCGACCAAAATATTTTTGGTCGACAAAAGTGATCGGTAAATGTGTTTTTTCTTGTAGTGGCACTAGCCAGGTTGGCCATGGCATCAGCATAGCTGTTGTCATCTCGGCTAACTTGCTGTAGTTGGCAATTTTGGAACAATGCTATCAGTCTGCCCACCTCCTTTACATAGGCCACCATCATTTCATCTCGAGCAGCGTATTCATCTGTTACCTGGTTGACGATAAGTTGGGAGTCACAGAAGACCATTACCTCGTCGGCTTCTATTGCTGGTGCCAACTTTAATCCTGCTATTAGTGCTTTATACTCCGCTTCGTTGTTTGAGGCCTTAAATCCTAAACGAATGGATTGTTCCAGCATCTATCCATCTGGCGATACTAGCACTACTCCTGCCCCCGTTCCTTGTCGGTTTGAACTTCCGTCAACAAACAATCAGAAGAAGTCGCCGACATAAATACTTCAGGGCTTGAGTTTTTCTTCTTTCCTCTGTTTGGCTATCCCCAGCTGGGTTTCTTCTTGTTTACCTGCGCATCGTATACCTCGACTCAACGAAGCCTGATGTATGATGGTGCCCGATGTGAACTCGGCCACGAAGTCGACCAACACTTGGCCTTTGATTCCTGTTCTGGGTCTGAATTCTAGGTCATATTGGCCTAACACCACTGCCCATCTGGCTATCCTACCTGTCAGATCCCCTTGCTGCAACAGGGACTTCAGAGGGTGTTTAGTTAACACCACAATCTTGTGGGCTTGAAACTAATGATTCAGCTTCTTGGAGGCCATTACCAAAGCTAATGTTAGCTTTTCCAAAGGTAGATATCTGGTCTCTGCATCTTTTAGGGTTTTACTCACGTAGTAAATTGCCCCCTGTTCTCCTTTGTCCTTCTTGATTATTACTGCACTGACTGCATGCTTTGAGATCGCCAAGTATAAGAACAGCTCCTCTCCAGGTATTAGATTAGAGAGAACTAGAGTTGTGGTCAAGTACTTTTTCAAGTCGGCCAAAGCGACTTTGCACTCCTCTGTCCATAAGAAATCTGTGGCTTTCTTTGCTAGGCTGAAGAAAGGTTTGCATTTATCAGAACTTCTGCTTATGAATTTGATTAGGGTTGCAGCCCTTCCAGTCAACATTTGCACTTGTTTTGCCGACGTTAGGCTCTCTAACTCTATAATGGCCTTGATTTGATCCGGGTTTGCCTCAATGCCCTTTCTAGTGACCAAGTATCCCAGGAATTTTCCTGATCCAACTCCAAATGCACACTTTGATGCATTGAGTCGGAGCCGAAATGTCCTTAGGATGTCAAAGACTGTCTTCAGGTCGGCCAGATGATCTTTAGGTTCCTTGGTCTTCACGACCATGTCATCAATGTATACCTCCACTGTTTTGCCTATTAGATGCCTGAACATCTTTGTCACCAATCTTTGGTAAGTTGCTCCTGCATTTTTTAACCCAAAAGGCATCACTCTACAGCAATACAACCCTTTTGGGGTGATAAATGCGGTCTTCTCCTCATCTGAGGGGTACATGGCTATCTGATGGTACCCTCTGTAAGCGTCTAGGAAGCTCATCCTTCCATGCCCTGAAGTGGCATCCACCAATTGGTCAATCTTGGGTAGAGGGAAACTGTCTTTGGGACAAGCCTTGTTCAGGCTGGTGAATTCCACGCTGACCCTCCACTTCCCATTCTTTTTCTTCACAACCACCGTGTTTGATAACCATGTCGGGTAATTTACCTCTTGAATGGCTCTGGCCTCCAGAAGTTTATCAACTTCCTCTTCTACTGCCTCAACATGCATCAACGTCGGCCTTCTTCCTCACTGGATGACAGGTTTAGCTGACCTGTCCATATTCAATTTATGGCAAGTGACCTTGGGGTCAATGCCAGGCATTTCGCATGGTGTCCAAGCAAGCACCTCAAGGTTTGAACTCTAGAATGCTTCTAATTCCCTTTCCTCTTCCTCGGCCAAGCCTGAGTCGAGGAGGAAAAAGTGCTCCTCATCCCCTTATTAGACTAAGATCTTCTTCAGGGCTTCCTCACTTTTCTTGGCTGGTTCCTTGCTGATGTCCTCATGGACTTCCATGTCCACATCTTCAATCTCTGCTACTTCTGCT